AATCTAAAACATCTATGCTATTTGCTGTCATTATAAAAATAGTTGACTGAACAGTCTAATGCATGTAGTTATTATCATAGTTACAATATTTGTACTGGTTTAGAGCATGCACAGCTACATACCATGCATGCAGCATGCAATCTAGAGATCTACATGTAATAAAGAATATTAATCAAAGTCAAATAAAGAAGGGATAAAAAATATCTTTACTATAAGAGTTAGACAAAACATCAATCCTTCCCTAAGTTTCATTAGCATGGATTTCACAAAATACACAGTCCACAAAAATGAAATATTGTTTTTCTGTAAAAGTGAAAAAAACTTAACACACTGTTTAGAGGCTCACGAAATACTTGTTAAGATATCAATATCTTTACTCAATAAGATATCATACTAAGTCTACTAATTTTATCCACAATTGTTTTTCTGTAAAAGTGAAAAAAACTTAAGACACTGTTTAGAGGCTTGGGAAATTTCAAGCCTTGAACTGTACATATTACAGGTTGACCAAAATACTCAGAATAATATTGTATTACTAATCTTTTTCCATAAATATAATTTTTTATTAGTATATCCTGGTATTTATCTCCCAAATTTCTGATACTTTCAATCACTCTGATGCAGCACTTGTATTGTTCAAATCCTTCACTTTTCAATTTAAAAATTAGTAATGCATGTCAGCTAATTCATTCTGCTGTTGATCAGTAATAGAAAAAAGGAGAAGAAACATTTTTTAGAATAAAAAAATGCCATTTACATTGAACATAAATTATGCTGTTATAAACATGAATTGACTACACGCACATATATGATGACACCTTTTTACCTGCAAAATATCGACCCTTTTTCAAAAAAACCTCAAATGTGTTGGCTACAAGAAAATCCAATACAATATGATGGAGTTTAATAGGACAAATATCGTTTGTAAAAAAAAAAAAAAAAAAAAAAAAAAAAAAAAAAAAAAAAAAAAAATCAGACTTTTGCTTGCCTCCCACTTACCTTCTTCTCAAATATAACAATATCATATAAAAGCTATTTCAAGTTTCTTAATTTCTATGTAAATAAGATAGGAAATGTAATCTGCTATTTAGAATCTAAAATACCAAAAAGCCAAACTTTACACCAGTAAGCCAATATATCACACCAATCTAGCTGGCTTTGTGCATAAAAATGCCTGAAAACTGTAGCTTGTAAATATATTAAAAAATCAAAATAAGCCTCAGCACATACCTTCAGTGACAAAGTCATACAAATGTGTGTCATCTATTCTCCCAGTGCTAGGGGGCTCAACAGCCATGTCCTCTGAGAAATCCGTCTTTTGTGTTGTGGGAGTGTCAGACTTCAGAAAGTGTGGGCTTTCCATTTTGGTCTGCAGGGGCTCCCCTCTCTCCATGGACAACCTGCAGATGTGTGGGGCATTCCTGAGGGTCTCCACGGCCTGCTTGTGTGTCACCCCTTCCAGACTGACCTCATTGACCTCGATCACACGGTCACCTGGAGTTACAGGGTAAGTGGACAACATGGGTGGACATGCCAACATGTTAATAAAGTTTCTTATGGTAACTTGAGAATAAAAGATAACAGCAATGATTTGTACAATCACCCATTAATAAAAAGATACACAATACCCGTAGTTGTTGAGAGAGATTTAATCACTGTGCAGTGTTAATGTGCTGAGCATTTTCAAACTTACACACATTAAATCACCAGAAGACCCCTTTTGTATTGTCTTTTGTCTTATATCTGAGCTCCCACTGACAAGTTAGGCTTCGTTCACATGCAATGTCTATTTTCTAAATTCTATTTTCTATTTGCGGTATGTCTTATGATCACGGTCTGTGGCCTGAATATCCCGCGGCGTAATTACTGGCAGCGCGAGCCAGTTACTCGCGCTGCCAGTAATTACGCGGCGGGATATTCAGGGCACAGACCGTGATCATAAGATAGCGCAAATAGAAAATAGAAATTAGAAAATAGACATTGCATGTGAACGAAGCCTTAATCTTACCTATCTGGATCTTCCTGATTCTCTCTGCTGCCCCTCCTGGCACCAGGGACTTGACATAAATACCTCCAAACTTGACACTTGTGTTGATACCACCCTGAAAGAACAAGGAGAAAAGGGAATGGTGAGATATAACAATAAATAAATGTCATTTCATTAAGGTTTTAATGTTATGTGTTAGCATTTTTGGTTGTCTATGCTGCTTTCAGAAGCAGGTTATATTCTTGAATCACTGGTGATTATTCCTAATGTACTTTACAAACACAAAAAAAGCTAGAAAAGCATTCCTCAGCACATCTTAATTAAAAGGATTGCAGAAAATTGTACAGCAAAGTTAAAATATCAACTTACAGTGACATTGAGTCCCAAACTACCATGCATCTTCTCCAGGACCACCTCATACTTGTCTCCAGTCTTGAGCTCCTGTGACTGGTGGGACTGAGCCGATGTGCTGGTTTCATAGCCTCCCATACTGGCAGGACTGCTGCCCATGGCAGAACTAAACAACACAAGGTACAGTATTAACACAGCCTCCCATACTGGCAGGACTGCTGCCCGTGGCAGAACTACACACAACACAAGGCACAGTATTAACACAGCCATCCATACTGGCAGGACTGCTGCCCATGGCAGAACTACACAACACAAGGTACAGTATTAATACAGCCACCCATACTGGCAGGACTGCTGTCCATAGCAGAACTACACAAAACACAAAGCACATTATTAACACCACACAGAACTGTTTGCACATAACAGACTCATGTGAAAGGTATCACATGAGTTTTTATAAAGAATTTGGACAAAGAAATATTTTCAGCAAGATCGGTATCAATACATACACACAAATGATGACCTTACAGTTACACAGAGTTACTGTTCATAACGAGACCCAGTTATGTGTTAATGCTAGTCTGATAGATGTAACTTGTACAATATCATTTGGACCCTATTTACCTTTGAAAAAACATAATTCAAAGCTCACTATACCACACTCTAATCTACTACAGTACCTGAAGTTGCTGTTAGGTCTCTGTGGCTGAAGTTGTGGGGTGTTTTTGATGATGTCTGGTGTTGAGAACTCATCGTCTGTATCCAGCTGATGTCTCCTGGGTACTGCCACCTGGGGGGTGGGGCTCATCTCCAGCTCAGAATTCTCTGCTGGACCAGTGGCAAATTGTGATAAAATGCATTAGGAAACTCACAAGTTTTGAAATTCAGTCACATGTCACTAATAAGCAATTTTGTAATAAGAAGCAAAATGTATCAAATAATTACTAAAATCTAGAGAAGTTTCAAGGAGAGAATAATCAGCACTTTTCCATCTTTACTTTCCACAGCAAACTGAATCCTTTGGTTCAAGTATGACAATTAGTAGCTATATATCAAAACACACAAAATGACTTAATAATGACTCACATTTAAACAACCTAACTGAGCAACCTTCATTTCAGTAAAATAATGACTAAACACACCTTCAGGAGCATTTCTAGATATCCTCCCAGTATTTGTATTGCCTGGTATATTTTCTGACTGTCCACCACCATGTCCCTGGGGTCTGACTAATTCCACCATGTTCTGGGGTGTCATTCTCACAGGGGTAGCATTCTGTGGCCTCCCAGGGGCGACACTCTTCATTATTACCTCATTTGCTATCTGTGGGGTCCTCCTCACCTCTGGAGTGCCCCCTCTGAGCTGTTGGGGTGTGGATCTGGCTTCAACGGGAGTTTTTCTGTGATCAATCTTTGGCTGCGTGACAAAGTCAACAGGTTCATAGGGATTATTATTGCTGCTGTCTTCTACTTTCTTTTTCCTTGGAGGTTTAGAAGGGGTGTTTTTCTCCTGGGGTAAAATGTCTGCCACCTCCATGTCAGATTTCTCAGCAGATGACATGCCCCAATCAGAATTCTCGTCTTCCTCCTCATCCTCCTCATCAACATCTGCATCCTGTTCTTTCACAGTGCTGCCCCCTATGGGTGCACTGTTAACACTCACAGGCTGTCCTTGAGCTGACAGACTATCACCTGTGCCAGGGGTTCTAGATAGAACAGTCAATATTTTTGGTTTTATTTTTGACTCTTCAATACTCCTCTGTCTGTCCTCATTTTGACTGACATT